AAAAAAAAAAAAAAAAAAAAAAAAAAAAAACACAAAGGTGTCATACAACAAATTTCGCGACGACAGATCTCACGAGATTTCCCAGTCATTTAGATCGTATAGGACAAACAATTTCGCAAAATTCTGTCTTCTACCTACCACGTGACTTTGAGGGAAATAACCAACGGCTCCAGTCCTCTTCGACCGGCCCTGTCGGAGAGAGGAAGAAATTCGGGAAAACGTCAGGAGGAATGTCGATCTCGGTTACAATTGTGGTGAACATATTTTTCGTTGGAACATGGAAGCTCTGTGCTGCATCGTCCACAAAGAAACAACGACGACAAAAACGACTAGCGTAACGATTATGTTAGGGTAAACGTAGTTTAGTTTGGAGGTCCTGCTTCAAATGATTCCTTTCTTGCACGCAGAAAAATTGTATTCATCCCTAGACATTAAATTACAAGACGAATGTGCACGAACTCACCTCCCACCATTCAGGGTCATTCTTGTTGATTAGTTCAATATCATCTCCGACTACAAAACTAAGAACTGGGCGGCCACCAGGAGCGATTCCAGCAAAGCTGTCAGTTGAAAAAAAACAAAACAAACAAAACAAAATCAACTATTAAGTTCCCTTAGATTGCACACCTTCTCTTTCATAGTACGTCTGAGAATTTGGCAGTCTAGACGAAGAGATCATTCGGAACCATTTTAATCACATTTGTCGAACGTAACGCTTTCCTCCCTGTTGCAGTACTGGTTAAATAATGGCTGCGAAGAAGACTTGGAATTTGTCCATTCAGTCGATGTTAAAAGCTTTCAGTTTTGCGTTATTAATGTTGTAAGAGAAACTGAATGTAAGTCAGTCATTTTCTAGTTCCTAGTCTTCAATATTTCGCCGCGGTCAATCGTTTTCGGTTCACGTGGTCCGGGGCGAAAAGTGCGTTCGTCTCGGATACGTCACCGAAATCAACTGACCGTGAAGGCCTGGAAGAAAGCCCTACAGGAACTAGGCAAAGTCAGTCAGGGTGACAAGGATGATGCAAATTACAATTAGAAGTCAAAACGAATTTTGAAACAAATACTTACTTTGAAGTAGCTACGTAAAGAGACTGATTTGTATTTCCTGCAAAGTTCAAACCAAAATGACAAACAACTGACATTAAACATATGGCAGAAATAAGGCATACAGAACAAACGTTATGGAACAAGTAACGTCTAAAGGCTTTGTCTGGATATTCCCCGCAAGTATAAAATGATCCCCAAAATACAGTACTCACGACACCTCTAATCCATATAACAACCATTTAACGGTCACCTGTCATTCCACAAAACCTCATCCTGACGTTTTGCGGGCCAGACCAGTACAGAAAATACATCAACAGTTTAGCTCCTCAAGATGGTAACATAAATTACTTTCCGTTTGATTATTTACCTTTGATAAATCAATTCCACGAATATAGGAAACCAAAGTGTTTGAACTGCACGTGCATGCAACCAAATACAGTTGAAACCCTATTAAGCGGCCGCCCCCTATTAAATTATATTATGACAGTGATAGGATATAGTATGTTCGTACAAGTGAATCAGGAAAACAGTGATATGCAGTCCTCATTACGTGAAACAATGGTCACAAGGCGCAGGCATGTTTGTAATTGAATAAAATGGCGTTCCAACTAATTCCTGACGAACCCTTACCAAGCGGCCACCTCCCATTTCCCCGAGGGTGGCCGCTTAAAAGGAGTTCGACTGTAGCTCCGGTTTTCAAAGGAGGGTGTAAAAGTACCTTGTCGTATTCTCGCTGGCGCCGAGACTTTTCTATGTTTAGCTAAGTCCGGGCTGAGTTTTGGAGGTATAGGCGACGAAGTTTGTTTAGAGAAGGGATTTCTGGCAGCCATATGGGGACGAAATGGCGATGTACCAGAGAACTGACCATGGAATCCAGGACTTGCTCGACATGCACTGGTCTTTGGTATGCAGTCCTTGTGAGCAGCGGCGTCACAAACTGCAAATCAAAAAAAGCGAAGATTTCCAAAGTTTAGATACAGAAAACAAAATGAATCGAAATAAATTTGGTGTTTGCAGGCAAACAGTTTATAACTCTTTAGTAGTTGAAAAAGTTTTCAATCGCGGTTTGGTCAAGAGAGTCCTACAGAAAGTTCATAGACTCTCGGTTGTGTTGGCGGGTTTTGGCGGGAAAGTTTGAGCATCGCACACGTGTCATGTGACTCGCTAGTCCCTCGCTTACCGGGCAACACAAGTACAAACAAAGGAATTTCTACAATTTTAGCGACCAAATCAAGCCTGTGTGGTACAAAAGAAAGGGCAGCAACGGTAGGATAAAACATTCTTTTAACGTGAGATGTTAATTCGGAAGCAAAGACCACTATATCAGCAAATTTTAATAATTTGAAGGAAACCTTTTGGCTGCAATGTAGAATTGTTTTGAGTTGTCAAAATGTTTCATAAGCTTTAGATGTACGAATTGCAATTCAAATTATTGAACAACTCATGAAGAACACTTACTCAAGAAGACTAGATATTTAGTTCACTAGCCAACTAAATAAGCACTTTCGTAAAGCAATAAAAAAGCTCATTCGGTACTTTGGAAACAACAAACCAAATATCGTTAGTCACCCGCAATTCATTTGGAATGGGTCCCAGTAGTCACGTGCGAGTTGTCAAGTACCGACTTCCCATGGTAACAAACATTTATGGCAAACATTTTTTATAAAACAAACAAGCTTACTCGCACACTTGTATCCTTGGTTTGTTAAACCCCTGAAAAGAAAAAAGAAAAATGGGGCCAGAGGTTTTGTGTTAGTTTATGACAAATGCGGAATATGATAAAAAAATAAAAAAAAATTGTACGTAAAAGAGCCTTGAATAAAAATACAGTGCTGTGCAACCCTGCCTTACGACCACCCTGTCAATACAGCCACCTCGTTATTACGGCCAATTTATTCTGGCCCGAAGAAAAGCTCAGTCAGTCATTTTCTTATTTAAAGATCCCCTTCAATAAAGCCACCCCGTTAAAATGGCCAGATTTTTGTGGTCCGTTGGTGACCGGATTAACGGGGTTCCACTGTAGTATAGATTTAAAGTAACCGAGTAAAATATTAAACGGCTCAAGACGATCACAGCACAACTTACCACAATAGATTTGAACAAACTCCACAATACGTCGGCGAAGGAAATGTATGTAGTTCAAACTTGTGACTGCCTGTAGAGTAAAACGCGCCCGTGAGAAGTTCACCAACGCGTATCTAGGAAAACACTGTTTTACATGCTTACAACAGAGAGCGATCTTACTGAACTACATTTTTCGTTTGTTTCATTTTTGATTATTATGTTGATTTTTGATCGTTCGTTGTAAGAAAACATAATATAGGAGTATACAGGGCTGGTAATAACAGTCGGTCAACGGACATTGTCCGACCAAATTTTGAATATGTCCGGCCAATTTCACATTATGATCGGACATGATGTCCGAACATTTCACCAACACCAAGCTATTGTCCATCCATAAAATTTAGCTAGATACATTATTAAAAGGCTCGAAATTGCGATCGGTACGGTCGCCAATGCGGCTAAAATTTCATCTCTGGCGACCAAAAATTCTGGTTTAGTCAACAGCCGAAAATACGCCTGCGTTAACAGGCGACCACAATGGCGACTACGTTTCTCTGTGTTAACGATCAATAACGGTTATTTCTGAGACATTATGTCCTTCCAGAAATACATAGTCAAAGATCTTTGCTTCTGTAACACTCAATATAAGAAAAGAAGGCAATGTATCTTTTTGCTTTGCCGTGACGGATTCCCTCACATCGGAAAACTTGCAAATGGCTGATCGTGTTTGAAATCGCCCTATAATGCATTGCAAACCATTGAGGATTGAGTACGTCATGTATGCCTACCGATTGTGTCTCTTGGAAATGCATGAATCTTTCATAGACATTACATTAGCTACGTATACAAAATTAGCGGCCCAAAAAGTCTTGGAAATTTTTTCTTTACAGATTTTATGCATTGAGTTCTTTTCTGAATAAAATTCCTACTTGATTTTTATCACTTAGTCGCCAAATGGCTACTCAAGAATTTGTTAATTCTGACAGTTTAAGGCATATCCTGGAGCCCATTTGGGCTCCTGCCATATCATATTAAAAGAGGAAGTGTTCACCTTTCCTGTACTTGCCAAATAAAGTACCCTTCAGAAATCGCCCTATTATGCATTACGTGCATTGCTATGTGCTGTTAGCCCTTCATGTATGTACCCTAGAGTCAACTTTGGTCAGGACCTCCCTTACTAAACCCCATACTAAGTCATGGTATTTTTACAGACCGGTCTATGTTTAGGCTTCTTTTCCCACAAAAAAGGTCAGTTCCAGTCTATGTGAGCACGATTCAGTAAGGAGAAAAATGGCGGCTTCAGGTGGACATGTCAACTTAATCTTCCGGTGAAATTATAAAGTCTGTGCTTGTGATTGGTCACTTAGGTTCCTGCGGGGGCTGAATTCGCGGTAAATTTAAATAAAAATAGATGGGTCTACGAATAGGCCAGGAAAGGAACAATTGGGGTAGTTGTACACTCCTAGTGATGGGCTCCTGCTTAAGGGACACAGTCAGCTGGAGCACATGCGCATTTGATACCATTTCATAGCTAATTTGCATATCACAGAGACGCGATCCATATGTTTTTTAACCGAATATGATAAAAATAACATCATAGGATGAAAAAAAGCACACTCAAAAACAGGCTTTTCAATAAATGATTGAAAATCAAGCAAAACACTGCGAAGATTGAAGTGGATTTTTTAGATGTACTTTGATTTCAGGTTGAGGCGAACTTTTTTCAAAGTGAAAAACTAGTGTCAAGGTCAGCATGGTCCCAAAGCTGACTGTGTCCCTTTAATGGTAGCATTCAATAGCAAACTAGGTTTGCTTGAAGAACGTATAATCAGGAGATTACTAGGAGAGATTGGTGCAGTTATCTTGTAGATAAAGTCATCTAATCATCATAAATGAAAAATAAATCAAATTTAAAAGCAGTTCTGAATGATTTGTATTGAAAATCTTTACAGTTTGCCAATACATTTTATTATGCTAATTAATATGCGAATCAATTATGCAAATTAACGTCCGGTCAAATTGATAAGATGTCCGACCAAAATGAAGATTTGAAAGGACACATGTCCTGTTAAAGAAGAAAAATTATTTCCAGCACTGGACTATATATAATAACTGAAAAATTAAGCCACACATGATGAAAAACATCGCACAGAATTGGTGAAGGAAGTTTAACTTAAACAAATGTACCTTGGTCAACGTTCCTTAATGTAACAGCGTCCCTGAAACCAAGGGTAATAACCAAGTTAAGAAGTCTGATGAAATTATCTCTCGCAGCCGCATATTATTTCAGTTGCCACGGAATGCTTCAGTTGTGTGGCAGGAAGCAATGTGTGACAACCAAACTAATTGCTGCGGTGGAAACGAGGACACTTGGGGAATTCCTTAGGCCCAGGTCAAACGTCGAACTTCACATGAGACAAACTAAACTGAGCGAATTAAGTTCATGACAAGTTCGATGTCTGACTCAACTAAGTTCGTCCAGTTTAGATCGACTAACACCTTCTATCTGTCTGAAGCAGACGGATAGATCGTTGGTCGATCTAAATTGGAATTAAGTTTGGCGTTTGACCCAACAGTCGAGCTTTACCGATTGGATCGACTCAAATTGCAATTCAGTCCGTCTCATGTGAAGTTCGACGTTTGACCTGGGCCCTACATCCTGAGCTGTAATGGGGGAACTTAAGCTGCTGCAAAGAAAGTCCAGAAAACGTCTGAGGCCACGATTCGGGGAGTTCTTCTTCACAAGTACCTAACAATGAAACTTTCAGAACCTAAATAGTTCTTTATTAATTTAAACTCACAAATATTTTGAAGAAACGTCAAGTCACGTAATTTTCATTTTCTTGGAAAGTAAACATCATACAAGATCTTAGTGGGGCTTCAGAAAGAATTCATTTTGTTGTACTTGGCCAGAGCAGGTTGTACAAGGAATTGAAATCACTTTTGTACAAGATAGAAACAAATAAGGACATACTTACATGGCCGTTGTAAGGTCATTAATCCATTTGTTTTTCATATCTTCTGTTTTGGTTGACATATAACAAGAATTTCGTTCTACAGGTAAAAAGCACACGATACCATGAACTTCAGTTAGACTATGACATTACACCCTGAATATCGTGCTCAGTTAATCAACAGTCGCTCAGAGGGACAATGTCAATCTTATCCACAGGTTTTATCACTATCCTGTGGATAGCACAGTCGGTTAAAATTCTAAACACTTCTCTACTGAATAGCATTGTCCACTCTTAGAACAGCTGAACCTTAGGACTACAGCCTTGCATAATGAACAAAATAACGGTTACATTTACAAAGGATTCTAAAAACTACATCATAAACTGAACAAGTGCTTTGCAATGTAATTTTCTCATGAATGCATACCTTGCTCCAGATTTTTCATATACCAACTGTGAGAAAACTGCAAGAAAAAACAAGAAAATACTTAAAACCACAATCACCATCTTAGTTTATAATGCTCTAAATTATCCTATCATTTCTCAAATTAATAATTATTGCATCCAAGGAGATCTTAGTATCAATTACAACTTTAAACATTAAATCTCACCTTATTCTTCACTGGATTAGATGGCATGTCTTGGATTTCAAAGTACTGGAGAAACATGGACTGCTTGTGGTGGTATGTGTCTCCCTACAGTAAAAGGTACAGTATAATAAATAATAACCAAAATAATACATTAAATCAAGTACATGTATGTGGATACAGGGAAAGACAGAAAAAAGGGTAACTAGCCCAACTGGCACCCATTTTATGAACCTCACATTGCTGTAGAAGTTTTTTTCGCTGAACGCTACACCTCTATGCTTTAATCGCCGATCACTTTGTACCTCTTCTCTTGCATGCACATATAGAACGGTGGCATGTTGCCATGGTTACCAACAGGGTTTGGTCTGTTGTAGAAGTTTATATTAAGCCCTACACCTGAACTCATTAATTAAGGATCATTTCCACATAATGAACTCTACGGCTCTACTATCACACATATCTAGGTAATAAACTCTATGGCTCTACGGTTCTACGGCTATCTACATAATTAACTCTACAATTCTACAGCTCTAGGGCTCGACGATCATATATTTGCCTTTCCTTCAGAATGTTACTAAACATATTTATTTCTGATACATTGTATACATGTATCACAGCTACCAAATGGTAAACAGTTACGATCCATACAACTACTCGCTTATCTGTTCCCACAAAAGAACTAACCTTTGTCTTGCAGATAATTAGCGCTGTATCAAAGAGAAAAGCATGTCTGTAAAGCAAATCAAAGAATGAAATTAGACAACATATATACATGTTCCAACAAAGTTTAGTTACTGAATAAATACACTGTTAAAGTAAGTAGCCATGTAAAATTTGATGAAACAGTCTAGTGCACATGTAGTAAAATAATCTTACAACATTGCATGTGTACTTCTTTCAATCTATCCAGAAAAAATAACTCTTTCATTGCCTTAATCATTCTTTCAATCAATTCACATACCTTTTCTTAGGTGGCTGATCACTAACTTTTATGAGGAGTTCACCATCTTTCAAAAGATGCCCAAATCTGAATAAATTAATATCCTGAAATGACACAAAAAAAACGAGAATTATATTAATTTGAAAATTGACTTAAAATGAAATAAATGTTCTGAGCCTAGAGCAGAATCTAGAATGTTTGCACAAAGTATTTGTAGCTACAATCAAGATACTTGAAGATAGAGATCTCTAGCTGAATTAAATTGATACTGTACCATATGTACATGTAACCAACTGTTTATTATCAGCAACATGAATTAATGACTGATTTGAAATCTTACCACTTCGCTGCTCAAGCTGTGAGGAAAACAGGAAAGAAAAAAATAAACTTAAGAACTTGATATAAAATAAATGTGTAAAGAACATATTTGCCTCTGCAGTACTACATAATAGTACAATGTCAGATATATGACAACTGTCTTCTGATTCAGTGTGCATGTATAAGGACAACGTACATTTACATAAACTCGTTTTACTTAGTTGTTTCTGAAGTTAACCATTCTGTAGTTCATCCCAGGACTATGTGAGATATATATGTATTTGAATTTAGGCAGTCACCTATTTATTGCTGGTGGGACCAAATGGTAAATGTACTTGCACATACACTGTTTAAGCAATAGAGGCCTTTTTCTGTGTTAACATAGCCTCACCTNGGGGTTTGCATAACTTTCAAGAATTTTCCAAACCCCCTAAGTGTTTAGATACATGAGAAATCTCCAAACCCCCTGAGTGTTTAGATGAGGGTATGTAAATATGGAAAAAGTCTTCTATTGCTTTTATTAATTAAAATAATTCTCAAAAAGCAAGGTTTACAAACTCTCATCTAAACACACCTACCAACCAATGAGAGCATGTGTACAATCTTAAATTATTTTAAAAAGCATCGATAGTAATAGAGGGCAAGCAAATTAACCTTATGAAAGTTTATCTGCTCAGTCGTACACAACATAAAAACATCCATTTTGGTAAAAGGAAGTTACTAGTGACCAGGCTTCTTTCATTCACGCACCTGTCTTCAATATCTTTAACAGTTCTTGAGTTTTCATCATCACGTTTCAATTGGTTGATGAACTTTGCAACATCCTACACAGACACACATTTAGCAATAATTACCAAATAACGTTCTACATGTATACTAATGAAAAAGGATTACACTCTTAGAACATTAAATTTCTAAGTTTCTATGAATTCAAACTGAATAATTATAGATGTCCTTATACAATTGATATGAAACAATTCCTACTACTCTCAGTTGACAAACTTGTATTAAGTTATTGTTGTAAACAGTTCATGTGTGTGAACATGTACACATACAAGTGTCAGATACACATGTAACACAATTTAATATTAATCTCATAATCTTATATAAAGATCTTAAGCTATGTAAAAACTATAGCCCTTTTAAATGTAAACTTAAGCGAACGTTATAAGACATTTAGTTATTAATTTTCTCAATTAGTTAGTGACACATCATTTTTATAATTTATATACATTAATTTATTTTAGGTTTTAAACAGAACTTGTGGTGATCAACTTAAAGCCCCTCAGGGGAGTGTTCAATAAAGTTCCATCTCATCTCATCTCAATTTATAATCTTCCATTTTCGTTTTGGTCCTGTCTAAACTGAAAATCCTTACCCTTCCACCAAATTATGACAAACAAAGCAATTTACTGGTGATAACAAAATACCATGCACTAGAGGAAAGTCTTAGTTAAAATACCAACCTGCACAGCCGCTAGGGCTTTTTCAAGGCCTTTTTTGTCTGGATGTGTTGATTTTGTCTGCTTGTTAAGCTCCTAAAATAAGCACACAGAAAAAGACAAAAACATGCCTGGTTAAATTGCAGATAGCAGCAGTTTACAAAGTGATTGGGCACTCTTCGTACCTTAAAAAAGTGAACACTCATGTCATTCTGGATTTTACAAACATACCATCAGCATAGAGCACCCCACGAGAGAGTGCTCGTGATTAAATACGCAGGGATTTCATCAAGGGCCAGGTACTGCGCAAATTGACCAGCTGTGAGGACAATTATTTTGCCCAGCTGGTTTGAACATCTAGCAGAAAGTTTTCCTTACATAGTTCAGTCCTAATAGTTAAATGAAACCCCTGATTATAAGTTATGTTCTTTCAACTAACATATTTAACAATGAAAACATTACAATCTTCTAGTTTATTAATTTGGTTGCAGTGCAGTTACCTGTATTAAAAGAGGGTACTTTAAAACACGTTGAAATGGTACTACTAACAAAGATCTCAATGCAAACTTGCTATTTGCTCTCCTTTGACATTCCTGTAGTATGTAGTAAAGAAAGTACAAGCATTTACATGTAGAACTCATATAAATCAATTAGTTGAACTAAGACTAGTCAAATAAATCAGAAGGAAGGAAGATATAAATTATACAGCATGCATGTATCATTCTAAAAAAAGACAACACCAACAAAGATATACAAAAGATACAAGTAATGCTACTGCAATTTCACTGTACCTTTAATCCTTCACGAAACTTGGGATCTGTTCTGGAAAGTTCATCAATCTGAAGATGTAAATTCATAACATTGCATGGGTTACAAATAAATTACCAGTAAGGTGGTATTAACATTACTGTCCTCTCCATGGCCACCATTACTACTTTGTAAACACTACGGCCTGTAGCAAGCTTCAGGTGCACATTTGTGTAATATAGGCCAATTTTTTTTCTGTTTTCACAGTAGAAGTTCTCAGAAATGTATGTAATTGACTAAAATAGGCCCTAATTAACAAATCCGTTCACAAAAATTTTTTTTTTTAACTCTTAAGGGGTTTTCCTGCGAAAAAAAATGATTACCCATAATCCTTTGCGTAATCTTCCATGTGGGAGAAAAGTTCAATCTCAGGGCAATCTCAGGTTAAAACTGGTTACAAAACTTCCTGTACAATAACAAGGCCTGGTTACCTTAGCAAGTGCCATCGCGTACACTGATAAGGGTGAAATGGTGGCAGAAAGGCAGAGAGAGATTTGTACATTTCTTCAATGAATTTTCATATCACACTAATGCCACTACACTGACAAATGACTTGGGGATCAAAATTTTCAGTCGTATTTCCACAGGAATGTACAAAGTCAAGTTTTTGGCAGATCTTTGGTCATGAAATGAGCAATGTTGAGAAGATGGCAATAATCAAAGGTCAGAGAAGCGAGTTTCAAAGGAATGTGTAGGGTGGTGATGCCGATATTTTGGTCAACAAGATGGCTATCATTTCACTTGGGGATTGAGATTACAGTGTATATTTTCAATGCAATGCAATGAATCAAGCTAGAAATTGGAAGAAAACGAATTTATTGTACGAGCATTTATATCTGTGAATGTTACGTATACAAGTTGAACAGGACGTTGACATTGTAGAGTTATGATTCGTATTTTATCTTGGAGAGCAAAAGGGAAGCATGATTGATCGGCTGGCTCAAAATTTAGGAGGATTCTGACTACAAGGAGTGCATTATTTTCCAAATATCAGTTGTATCCTTAGAGTTGGTTAACTTTACTTATTTCTTACAACTGGTGGTGGTTTAAATTAAACACTGAGAAGAATAATCTGTGCGCGCTGTTACACGTGACATTCTATCTTCTCACATTTTAAATTTATACTTTTTGGATCAAAATTTGTTTAAAACCTATCGCTCAAACCCAAGCTCATTTTAGGTCACTGTTTTTCTTAATACAAATGCAAGGTTTGAAGAAGGTTTCATGGTCATAGGTTTTTCTGATGCGGAGATATTCAACAAAACCTATTCACCTCTTGTCACTTAAGTGATTTGTACACCCAATGCGTATTACAGGTCTAAGTAACTACAGGTTGCAAGAGGATTGCTACTACTCTCTCTCTCTCTCTTTGTCCAAAACAGGTTCAAGTAATTCCACCCTCCTTCTTTCCTCCTTCCCCCAGCATTTTTGTCAGGTTGCTCTTTCTGGCACCCATTCATTCTCCAAGTAATGTGGTAGATAGAGGCACTGAGAGAGTGAAGTGTTCAGCCCAGAGACACACCACAAGGCCCTGGCCACTGCTTAGAACTACAGTGGAACCCCGCCTTACAACCACCCTGTTAATACGACCACCTTGTTATTACGGCCACTTTATTCTGACCCGCAAAAAAGTTCAGTCAGTCATTTACTTATTTAAAGAACCCCTTTAATACAACCACCCCATTAATGCGACCAATTTTCCATGGCCTGAAGGTGGTCATATTTACAGGGTTGTACTGTATTTATACTTCTCAACATTTCATGTGCGGTAAAATGCAATAATCCCCCCTACCACCCACCTCCTTTAGTTACACCAACAAGAATATAGTGTAAAAAAACTTACATAAGATTGAGCTTCTGACATTTTTGTGCAATATTTTCCATACTTTAATAAGTCATCTCTCTAGAGAAGAAATAAAGTGTATAAAATAAAAAAATACATTCTTAATAAATTTAATCTGGAAAACAGAATTTTAAAGTAAGGCTATCAAGGATCTGAACTTAAAAAAAAAAAACAAAAAGGAAACACTAAGTCTTGCAACAACTTTTGAGTAAATGAAATCAACAAAAATTACCACTAAAAACACTGCAAACTACAATTATCTGTACATACAAATTCCAGAAAAACAGGACTTATTTGCATTCCTCCATTGCTACAGCCTTTCTCTAGCTTGCCCACAAATTTTGTGTGAGTCTTCAACAAATCCTGTAAAAAGAAAAGTACACATAACCCAATTTGGTAAGCTATAGTACATGTATAAGAAAGATGTCTCACTGTAACCTACCTCTATATTGATAAAGATCCTAGCCTTGTCATCAGGTGACATCATTGATTGTAACTTTTTAATAAAATGCTGTCAAAATTAAATGAAAATGAAAAAGCATTCAATGCAGAGTTTTCTCAAGCTACATGTACATGTCAGCAGAAAAAAAATTCCATAACATAAAAATGTACTTTTATTAGTTACCTCTTGAATCATTTTAAGAGCCTCAACATAACTTTTCTCAGTCTCAAGGAGCTCAGCTACAACATACTTCCTTTTCTCTTCTATTGAGGTCTGTCGCTCAGGCTTCTGTAACATTACAAAAGAGGAAACAGTATATCTAACACCATTTGTTAACACATAATAGGTTAAGAGGCTATGTGAAACATTTCTACATTCCAAAAGTTGTCTCACATAAATTGCTAATTCTGAACCACAATTTGCAACAGGCTCGAAATATTTTAAATTACAAATGGGCACATTCCCATCACCACACATGTACAAACATTTACAATCTGATTAAATCTGCAGGAACAAAAACACATTTAACCTACTGGAAATTTTTGATAAGAAACAAGGTCCTCATAAATTTTTGTTTCTTCTTCAATGGTTACAGCATCATAAGGGTTTTCCTCCTCTGTTATGTCACGATTTCTACAGAAAAGGTCCACCAACAAAATTAATAAACTAAAACATTGAACAGAAGCATGTAAAAAACAAAATAAACATTCAATTAATGACAGTTGAAACTTTTGTCTCTAAGTTTCAAATGTTGACATGAGCAGGAACCCTTTGGGGCCATGTTTATATGTATGTCTGCCTTTTGAGAGGTGTCTGTTTAGAGACTGGAATGAGTCCAATTACATACATGTACATGTCTCAAATTTACAGTAACCTTAGTTTGATTTTGATGACACCAATACAGTATGCTTTTTAAGAGAAGGTTAAAATCTCTCACAGACCAAAGTACAAACCTACAATAACATACCTATGTACAAAAACAGATCCAAGCACATCTAGAAAAAGTCTAAATGAAGGTTTGCAAGGTACATGTACGCACTGTGTACTGCCCAAAAAATTTGTGGGTTAAAGGGAGTGTCTACTGTACTTTCATCTTTCATCAGTGTTCATCTTTCAGCACAGGTCTTGCAGTAAAACAAGTACATGTACATATAAATACTTCTATCAGTACTCACAAAGCAAGATCCTCAAGGTTTGAATAAATATCCTCATCTTGAATGTCATGTCCAGAATCTTCAGGTGGGAAAGGACTGTTAAAGGGAAAGAAAGCATATGATTGACATTATGGAAATCACTCATGATGAAGTCATTTTCACAAACAGTAATTTTCAGCTGCCTGAAACAAAAGCTGGAAATCCATCTGTGTTTGCAGACTACCTTTTATAAAGGCCCTGGTTGAAATGTTTGAAGCTTTGACTTACATATACAAGAAAGGTATCGTGCCATTTCATTAACATATTTTGCACTGCTCCAGATAATTTTAATACCTGCCCCAAGGAGGGTTATTGGAAATTCTGTGGGAGGGGTACATGTATTTATTTTCTGAATGTTCAACACATTTGCCATGCATTTAAGGTCATTCCTCACATTTGCATTGCGCATCCTTACTGCACATAATTTATGGCGTCATTAGCGCACGCTTGTGCATGCACATATTGAAAACATGACGGATTTGCCCTGATATTGAGCTCTGTCAGTTGAAAAATGCCTCTAGCTCACCAACGAGCATGGGCACCCCAATTTTTTTCCAGTCACTGTAATCAACTAATCATAAGCTTTGCGTGAGAAAAGACTCANGTCCGACACAATGTATTGACTGTAGTTTAATGCGTGTTCTTATGAGTCCGGGCTTACAAAGATGTTACAATTACTGGGAATGTGTTCTTATAATAAGCAATAAATAATGCCAAAATGGGGCATTTTCAATGCCTCAAGTGCCGCTCCTTAATGAGCATGGGCACCCCCCTTTTTTATTTCAAAATTGAAGTTATCATATAACAAATATTCAGTTGACAAAGTTTGAACAAAAATCTATTGTCACTTTTATTTCAGAGGAATTACCTTAACAGTGTGCAAATCAGTTACTGTATGTTATATACATGTAGTAGCAAGAGATTTCTGCAAGCTCCACTAGACCCAAGCTATCAAACACAACTTTCTTTGCAAAATGATACATTGTGTGCAGTTGTAAACTCAAAGTAACAACTTACTCAAATCCAGCTGTAATTGCATACTGTGTATGAGAAAGGACTGATAGAGTTTTTATAACCTATAAGATAAAATATAATAAAAAATATAATAAGAGAGTATTAAACGAAGACTTCACACGGTGGTTCAACTGAATATACAGCCCCTCCCATCTGGCCATGGCATGTAACTAGTATTATTCAATATTGGTATAAATCTACTAGTTAGCGTTCTATCACAAATGCCATTCTTTGATTGGCTACGCTACTCACTACAGGTGTATCTATTCTGTTGTAAATAGTGAATGGCCTAGCAGTGCGTGGTTGTCTACAAAATGACAGCTACTTCTTGCATTTTTGATGTGTCTGAAAAGAGGATTTAAACAACGTTTTGAACTGATAGATTTAATATACTCAAAAAATTGGATTATTCACTCTCAATTTCTGTGTGATAGTTGACACGGGCTGCACCCTTGTTATATCTATCAGTGATAGAAATCTCAAGTTCCTAATCTAATTGTTAATTACATTGTACTATAGAGCGGTTTTCAATTGAATGTCGTAAAACTAAAACCAAACCAATTACTTACCAATTAGACCACTCAGCCAATTTCAAACTGCAGTAAAACCAAAACCAATTTAACCAAAACCAAAATCACTGCCTGTTTACTGTCGACACTCATTTGAAAACTACTCTAATCACAGGTCAATATACAAAATATTAGAAGCAAATTTACTGGCTTGCAAGTGTTACGCGAAGTTATAAAAAAAGAGAAACAAACTTATTAAATAAGTCCCAAAGCCAGGACTGACTAGAAGATTGAATAAATAGAAGATTGCGTATTTCTAAATAGGAAACATTAACTCTCTAAGGAAACATCACTTGAGAGCACTAGTTTAATCCATAACTAGTAACTGTCTGCCATTGATCCATTTAACATAGACAAAATATGTATAATTGTGAGGGCAATTAAATATTTCAATAAAGGGGCCCTGGCCTAGGGTGAAAGTGAGTCATACAAATATTTTTGCAATAAGCAGGGGAATGACTAGTTTGCATTTTTCAGGCATATAGTATAAGAGGGGTCCAGGAGGAGGAAGAGCAAGCCATTAACGTAATCTTTAGTTGAATAGGGACTGACTACTTGATTGATCTAACCAAAAACTTGCAGATGGAATATTCATGTGAACCAGAAATGTGTTTTGCTCCAAATAATATTGTAGTACTACCCTCACATGTACTGTTTTTGATTTCACCACACCCCTGCCCCTCCCACCCCACTAGCAATTCATGTCTGGCTTTATATATACATATATTTTCCTATGAAAATTTCTTCTTTTCCCATGAACCACAATCTGGTGATTATGGATCTGTGGTTTCTAGAACTTAACCATGTACATTGTATGGGTCTATGAAACAATAAGATGCTAGTTTAAAAACGTTGGTGTACTTCCACTAGTTTCACTTGTCATTTCTTTGCAGAAAATGAAATTTTCCAATGACAAGGGTGTTTAAAAACAACTTCTTATCAATACATATGTATATGATAAAATCTGGTATGCACAGTAAGAAAACTTCCCTTTACAAAGTAACCATTTTATTTATCATTCACATAGAGTTGCAGAGCCAATCTGAATTATCTAATGAACCATTCGTTTTTTTTTGTTTTGTTTTTTTTAAGGGATATCAGCTAAAATTCAGAGTTTGGACAGTATTGGAATCTAGCTAGTTAAACATATGATAAATGTGCACGTTTTATGCAGGGTCATGTATTTATCTCAGTAATTTCAAGTGTCAAACACCACAAGTCAATGGAAAATTTACACTGATGTATACAGACACAACACAGGATATTGTCTCAAAATAATGCATATGTTTTATAACCATTATACTCCCAAGGATAAATACAGAGTTCTGTGTTTACACCATGGATCACCTTTAACTAAAATAAACACAGATAATCTGCATAGTTCCTACCAATAATAGCACGAGGATAATCAAATCATGTATAATGCTTCATCGATATAAATGCACACACAATTATATTACATTATCCGATTCGCAAATCGTGCTAGCAAATGTAACCCAGTGTAACCTTGTTCAAAAAGCAAAGAGGGAAAAACCCCGTACGACATTCAACAATCAGTTCCGGTGTCATCGTAAATGGTTCAACCCAGCTTAGCCCCACATTGCGTTCTATGAAACAAATTGTTATTTCATTACTGTCGGCGCTTGTTCGTTCGCTAAATTAGTGTCACTGTTAAGGATTCTCTAATTAACCCTCATGTATTCCAGAGGTCTTTGCTAATCGTTGTGCTACGTGACTTTAAGAGTGAGCATAAAGTTAGTAACTTAGCTCTAAATCAACATCAAGCTTTCTTTAACTCAAGAATGATGTGTAACACTAACCTTGGCAAAATCCGACACATCGTACAGCTCGTTGGCATCAAACAAAGCCTCTTGAGTCAAGCCAAAATCCCGTGAACAAGAAGTGAGAAAACTTCGAATATTTTTCAAACAGTAGAACTGTCAAAACAAAGAAGGAAGTAGGCTTATCATTGTAAAGGTGGAGTTTCACAAAATCAATAAACACCTCTAGTGTTTGTAGCAGTGCATCTACAAAACAAGTGATCGGAATCTTAGCTGGCTGTGTCCAGTCTACCTTTTGCTCTCAGAAAAAGTCTCAAGTTTAAAGGATCACAGGAAAACATATACAAACCGGAGACATTTGAGGTTTCATGTTGATATCTCGTATAGAATTAGGACGCAAACGATTAGCCACTTGACACAACAAGACACCATCCCGAAGAGACTGAGCCAGATCAAAGACGGATGCAGTGGGGTATGATGCTCTATGAAACTCTGGTAAAACTCCTAAACTGCTCAGCCAGCTCCGAGCCATTTGCCATTCTTCTTGCCCGGATGGTGCCCTTCGACTACGATGGCGACGCGCCATCTTGCTCAAGAAATGTAAAGAAATGTGTAATTCAGCTGAGAATAGACCATAATACTAATGTGCCGACTTCCCTTCATCCGGGTGTCGGAGGTAACCGGAAGTGGATAATCACTCTCTTCCTTTCTGAGAATTTCATCATTGTTTCATGTTGGATTTCATGGGCATACTAACTTACTGCTCTGTATTGCAAAGTTTGTTAAGTTTTCACCGTGTTATTCGTTACGTTTATCTACAAGAACCATATACCATTTGTCGTGTCACGCTCTTTCATAGTTTTGTGTGACTTTGGTGTGACTCATCAGGACTTACTCATTTCCTCGCATAGTAGTGACGCACGAAAACATTTCCTGGTTGAAAAGAAAAGATTTTAATCTTACTTTCAAAACATGTTTAGTAGCGTGATACTGGCTTTAGAAATTCTACCATAACATTTCTAACGTAATTTCCGGTGATGAAGAGTTCACACGTGACAACTTTGGCCAGTCTGTGGAAGGCCTTTGTGGTCTCTTTCACCTATTCGCAGTTCAGACCACGCTCGATTTCATCAATTTTAATTCTGTTTTCAACCTATTTGGGGTAAGACGGTACCAAAAATTAGCAAATGCGTCTGCTTGTCGTGAATTAATGTCATCCTGTATTCAGCCTCTCAAAGATATAAGTTCAAGGTTCCTTCCTTGTTCCCGGTTGGTCAAGATAGTGCTTTGGCATTGTGGACCTGGTGAAAATCGTCCGCGAAATCGAGAGGAATTTGGCCTGGTAAATTGACAGATCGAAGTACCTTTATCAATGGTCTGATTGACATACACTCTTTTTTATAAGAATATTGTTTTTCCTGCCAATGCTGAATATTCTTATTTTTCTGCGGATTTCAGGCTGAAAATATTCTTGCATGATATTTCTGTTTCGAATGTATTTGGTGTCTGGATGGTGTTAGAGTAATTTTGGAGCCACCTGCAAGCACTAAAACCTGATATCACGCCCGTAACTTCTTTGAGAAATCTTATTAGCATCGAACATAAGGCTAGTGCTGTTTTCATTGGTTTTTGGCTAGTTTTGCTGTTTGAAAAGAAGAACTTTATACCGTTTAGTTAACTGAAAACATATGATTGCATTTGTATTTACAAATTTTCAATACTCAAAATTATACTCTTTTCAAAATCTCCCCTCAGGCGTATTCTTAAGATATCCTTAAAATTTCTCAAATTTCAGCGCCTCGATATTCTTATGAAATATATTCTTATAAAGAAGAGTGTATATAAGACAGTCATGTAATACTTGCCCAAAATACATGGCGAGCCTTTTTTGGTATTCAGGTTTTCTAGCCTTTCCTCGGCCATTCTAAAGCTCAGCCAAATAAGGGTTTAGGTCAGAATTATTACCAAAACATTACCAATTGAGCGCCAGGGACGCACTGGGGAATATAACGAATATTGGACCGAGGGTGTGAGCAATTATCCCCAGTACGGCTCGAGCAAGCCACAGGTTAGTAAGTAGTTTGTTGTATCAGGGCACTCGGGCTAAAATACTTGGCTTATGACCGTTTCCACGGAAACTTTCCTGATGGTGAAATTCCGAAAAAGAAAGAACCAATCAAGACTAGGTACCTTGCCATAAAATAAAATGCATTATTTCTCCGTTACAACCTCTATATATCATGATTAAGATTTCCAATTATCGTATCGTTTCCGAATAGGGCCTGAGGGTTAATAAGTTCGACTCTTCCAGTCCGACATAATTTTCTTTCCCTATTATTAGTTATAGTAACTGGACCGAGTGGAGGACGATTCAGGGAGCAATCACGCGAGTAATTTCAAAATCGGACGAGCGCGAAGCGCGAGGCCGATTTGAAATTACAAGCACGATTCAGTAGTCCCTGAATTGTACGACACGAGTTCCAGTTACTAATTAATCGTATCTATAACAAATTTTGGAATTAAAAATGTCTTTTGAGAACTTCTTTTGAGCGAAAACGTATGTAGTGCGTTTCATAAGTTTTGAAAACTGTAGGAAACATTGCAAAGAAAGCCATTAAAGCGCGGGCAATTGACGTGCGAATCACGTGGGTATCCAATTACAGGTGTCCAATTGCAAAAAGTTCAAATTGGATACCTGTAATTGGACACCCACGTGATCGCGCGCCGACTACGTGGCAAATTGGTGCGCGGAGAACCAATCACGATCGAGAATTTTGTTATAGATACGATTAACAGCAATAGGCCATGGGAAAACCGAAGTACCCCACACTGTGACGTATGCCATCACATGCATAGAACGCTGGTGCAGTCTGTGACCGATTAATCAATAAAGGACAATAGCAAGACAATGCTGTGATTTGATTCTCATTATGACTTTTATTTCAGCAAAGAAATACAGTGCTCATGATTTAACGTACTGGTTAATCCATTCTCTGAACACGGCAACTCGAGCAAAGACCGTGAACATGCGTTGGGCATTACAGTCTGTTGAGCCCCAGCTCACTGCTCCCTGGAGTACCCAGAATCCATCGGAATCCTTGCAAACAAAAGGGCCTCCACTGTCTCCATGACAACCACCAAGTCGAGTGCCCGGAACGCCAGCGCAAAGCATCTGTCTTGTTATGCCATAACCGTCTATAAAAACAAAAACGGACGAAACGGAAATTAGGTCATCCGAGCATATGTCTTGAAGTTTAAAATTTAGCAGTCCCCGTCAAGCACGTCTAGTACCGGTGTCCGTGCACCATACTCGAAAAGATGACTCGAGAACCGAATACACCGAAGAAAATGGTAGTGGCTCGAGGAATCGATCTGTCACTAGTATTAACATACATATGTCATTGAGTACGTAACTACTGAACGTTTCATTCTATAACTATAATCTTACAAGTCAAAATGTTGGTTCAGACAACCTCCAGATACCTTGCTCATCGATCTTCGCTACCTATTTTCCTGACAGTGCATTAATGTTTTCAGAAAATATATATATTTTTTAATCACCATTATAAAAAAAGTGACTCACTTTTCCTTTTGCAATCAGATTCTGATGCTGGAGATATTTTAGCTTGTTGAAGTGTGTGATGAGAGCTACCAGGATGCCTGATTTTACCCCAGCCTGCAAAAGGAAAAGGGAAAAGTCCGTTAATTACATGAACGTGACTCACAGTAGACGCTTTAAATGTTTATCTAGCCTGCGTACTAAGCAAGCGTTCCAGCACGAAGAGCTTTTTCGGCATTCTGGTTCCGCGCAAATTGCAGCGAGAGCACAAAATTCGCCGAAGCAGTGGGTAGTTTATCTGTTTTTTTTTAACACAACACGAATGATCGAAGTCAGACACTCTAGAAGATAATTAAACGAACGCTATTATGGCGAGTCGGACTTGGAAAAGTTCAAAGCCAAATCAAAAAGTGTATTGGTATCAATGAAAACCTAAGTACGATACTCGCTCTATCTTATTAGTCTTTATTTATTAAAAAAAAAAAAAATAAGAAAAAGCTACACTATTGCAGTGAAGTTTATCAAGAGTTACGTATGAAAGACGGGTACCTGTCACTCTGAACAAGTTTTACCGGCTGGATAGCATTATCTAACAATTGAACAACTGTGCCCAGACTACCAGGTTTTTACTGCCATGCAAAATACGATTCGTAAGAAAACTGCATCAGACCTGAAATACGAACAAAAAGACTGACCAGTGATGTAACAAGTTGTTCCCGGTGGAACAATATAGTTTGCTTCTGGAAGACATGCCGGTGATACGCGGTCATTGATTTTCGCTGCTCGAGAAAGTTTGATCAAAGCTATGTCGTTGTTGATCCGTCTGCTGTCATATGAAGGATGTTTGATGACCCTTGAAGCGCCGATATTTTGTTCCGTTCCCTCGTTTCTGTACCGGTTATGATCTCCAAGTCGGAGCACATAATTTGAGGGGTTCCTGCCGAAAACAAAACTAAATGAATAGAACTTCAGCGAAAGGGGAAAAAACACTTTCAATATGGAATTCAATTTTACAAAGACTGAGAACTATTCCCGAAAAGATTAACGGTAAGTACTAGAGTCATGGGAAAATTTTACTGAGGAAATCAGAATGTCACGATCGTCGATACAAGGTCCGTCAAGTGGGTTACGTCTAGACTGCGTGTCCTAGTATTTCAACGAAAATAAAATAAACTAATACCAATTGTTTACAACAATGGCCTTGAAGAGCTGAATTCAAAACAACTGCTCCACATAGAGACTCGCTATTTCTAACTGATACAATAGAGCGCTGTGGACCCCTCTCAAGGACTATAAAAAGTTTCAAGTGCTGCACTCTTGGTTAAATCGCCCCCTTTTTTTGTTTCTTTTCCGTTTGGGAACGAATCGGCACGTATATCAAGTAACATTAGAGGACCCTTCTACCTCCTTTACTTAGCTCTATATAGGTGGAAGGAAGCAGTTAGTATCCACTTCAACGTCGCGGTGGCCTCATGGTTAGTGCGCTAGCCTCCGGATCGAGCGGTTCGGGTTCGTGTGTGTTGGGTTCTTGGGTAAGACACATAATTCTCACAGTGCCTCTCTCGACTGTATAAATGGGTACTGGCGAATTTAATGCTGGGGTGGGGGTAACCCTGCGATGGACTAGCATTCCGTCTAGGGGGGAATAGAAATACTCCTAGTCGCTTCATGCTACTGAAACTGGAGATAAACGCCGGCCTGTTGGGCCACCTGGCTCGTATACAGACTTTACCTACCTACCTACTACTTCTATGTAGGTATAGACTGCGGGAGTATAGATTCCCCGAGCACGCTGTCTTCCAATAAGTAGCAGGCACCATAGGAGCGGGGAGGGGTACGATACTCCACACAGACTGGGTCTAATAGTTTGGAATTTTTCACTAAAATACAACTCACAGGGTTGAAATACAATGCGCGGCCGTAACAACCCACTCTGGTGTTATCAACGTTCCTCCACAGAAAAATCCTCCACGACTGGTATGCAAGCCAACCTTGAAAAAAGAAAACAAAATAAAGCAAGTTAGGATAAAAAGACAATTCACTGAAAAACACAGTCATGTATAATATAAAACACGAAAGACCGTGTTTGACCACATCTCAAACAACAAGAAGCGAGTTGAAAATACGACGCGTAGCGGAGCATTTTTACGAAATTAGGGGTGTTTGGTAATGTGGTCAAACATTGTCTGGAGTGTTTGATATATCCTCTCAATCAAAGCTAAAACTAAGAAGAAAACGGAGAAATAAAATCGTAAGGATCTGTGCTAATAAAGATCAAATACAAATGTATCTAAACGCCGTTACGGCCATGATTTCCTTTGTTTAAACCTGATGAATTATTAATGAGTTTGAGAAGATTAGTTCACAAACCTGCCACGGCCAGGCACCAGGTTTAGCATCGTCTCCCCCAATCACTCGGCTGTTACCAAGTGAGGAAACACCGCAGGAACCTGGGAAACGATGATAGAAAGCTAAATCGTTCATATCTCTACCATTTTTAACAATTTTTTCTAGGCAAAAAGTTTCCCTCAAGTTAAATAGGCGACATTCGTGTTCTCGGTCTTGGACTGGAACTAGCTTGTAATGGAGGCTCAGGCGGGGGAATATCATTAAAAAGAGATTTATGTCATTTACATTTGAAAAGACTCCGCGCATTAGACTAAGTTGCAAGCTCGTTCCAGTTCTATACCGAGAGCACGAATATGATCTCTTTATCAGCCATATTTTTTGAAGTGCAGTCATTTTCAGTGCAGAATAGGACTAACGTCTCGCAAAGAAAGGAAACCGTTTATTTTGCTAGATTTAATATACAGGTGAAGATAAAAGTACAGGAGGACGTTTTTCCTTCCTCTTTTTCTTTCAAAAATGCGATGTTCTTGATTGATTAATTAGATTTCGTAAATCATTTACAGTCCGAATTTGTTAATAGCCACACGCATGTCAGGAGTACCTGGGGGATTAAGAAAAGTGTTTACAGACCTGAAGGTGGAGGAGGGGGTGGCGGCGCGTCCGTGTCTGGTGGAGGCGGAGTCGGTGGCATTTCAGTGCTTGGTGGAGGTGGGGGCGGCGGCACATCGGTATCTGGAGGCGGTGGTGGAGGGGGATTAGTGCTCGGTACTGGGGTTCCTGAATGAGAAAAAAGAGTATAGATTTTAGCGTGAGTAATGGCCTATGATCTCTTTCTCTTTAAATATTACAATTATTTTAATTAATTCATAAGGATATATTCTGTTCCGCTGTAAGTTTCCATTCTGTTTGTATCTTTATATKTGTGAGTGTGTGTGTAAGTGTGTTACCGACCGATAACTGTATAAATAATCTATGTAACTTAATGTCTGCCCATTCTTTTTAGCCCTTATGGTTATTTTGGGCAGGCAGTATTCTATACTAATTTAATGTTTATTGTAATTATTTTATAAATTGAGAGTACAAATAAATGGTTGTTGTTGTTGTTGTTGTTCCATTCCTCGTTTACTTAGGTAGTATGTATTCAAAAAGGTATTTCAGCATTTTATTACTGTTACCTTCTCCACATAGTTTGCAACTCTTCCTGCATCTCTCTCTCACAATCTTCATCCTGTCGCAATCTCCACGTGGAACGTGGTAGCTACAATACCTTCCTGTGTCACGACAGTTACCTAAAAAATACATCGATAAAAAAAGATTATAAATGCCTATATTTAAGTGTAAGTGAACTCAACCATGCTTAGTAGGGACAGTGTAAATAATTGAAATATATATATTACAACTTAAATAAAACTATTTATAATTAAATCCCAGTTGATGGGAATATGTCCAGTGGTTCCTTAGTAAGTCCAGCTGAGGAGCTGATCTCGGAACTGCCGATAGCAAATGGAGTTAGGGGAAAGATGCAGAATTTGAGCCAGTGACCCCACATGTCAAATCTAGTGCCCTAAACAACTAGACCACAATGCCCGGTAAAATCAGTCAATCAGTCAGTCCGTCAGTCCGTCAGTCCGTCAGTCCGTTAGTCCGTCAGTCCGTCAGTCCGTCAGTCCGTCAGTCCGTCAGTTAGTCAGTCAATCAGTCAGTCAGCCAGTCAGCCAAACAGTCAGTTAGTAAGACAGTCAGTTAGTCAGTCAGTCAATCAGTCAGTCAGTCAGTCAGTCAGTCCGTCCGCCGTCCGTCCGTCGATCCGTCCGTCAGTCGAGTCATTCAGTCCGTCCGCCCGTCCGTGAAAGTAACGAATGCAAGCTTTTTCAAGACAGTTATTTTTGAAGCTGACAAAACATCATCTATAGTGTTGCTGGATATCTATTCATTAGTTTGGTAAGTTAAAAACACGCAAACCTGTTGGGGGCTTTGTAGGAGGGGGAGGATTAGGTCCACCGTCACCTCCACCCCCAGAACATTTGTACAACAGATTCATTTGTCGGATGTCGATTTTGCTTAGGTACCGGCGGTTTCCAAGTGTAACCTGCCAAATGTAAGAAGGAAATTGGTAACTGCCAGCTTATTTGAAGGTTGGGAGTACAAGTGTTACCTGGCAAGACCCTTATGCCAGTCTGGTGTTCCAGTGAATGAAAGAGAACCGCAGGCTGACATTATTTATTTACTCGAAAATAGATTCAAATCAAAAGTGTCAGAACTACTTCAGTTCAAATTCGATATCCAGTTGACATGCACCACTTTAAAACCTTTTGATTCGTTTTTCTGTACCTCTTTTGTTCTTATGGCTAGGGCCAATCATTAACAACCTTATAAACATCGTAGGTCGCCGCCCAACGATATTTCACGTTTACAACTTATAGTATATTAGCATGTGCCAAACAGAAATGTTAGCTAGTTTACTAATTTGCGGTTTCTCCTGATTCGTGGGAGGTCGTGTTGTACTTCACTTGGGTCTCAGATTGGAAAGCTGAACTATGATTAAGGGAGCGAGGGGGCATATGTTGAAGTATATCTTTTAATGAACGATGTAGGACGTTCTAATTAATGGTATTTCTCAAAATTATAGTTTAAAGAAGCTAAGTCAGGCTATTTTAGGTCATTTTGTTTAATTGTGTTAATTATGAGCTCTAAACGTCAAATTGGCAGAGCAAAAGTCTTTCATTTGCAAAATCACGGCCACATAACAACTGAGAATGATTTTCCAGCTGTGTAAATGACATCTCGATATAAACTGATATAAATTTGAAAAAAGGTGGGCCGACGTTTTTCAAATTTACCCAAATGCAATCCATTTTAATCCTCTCCAGTTTTGTCCATCCATG